CAACATCCGCCCCGGGCTTCCCCGGGCATTTGAACTTTTAAAGATTGGTTCGTTTACATAATTTTCGCTATAATTGCAGAAAGAAACGATTTTTTTTTGGTTTCTGTGCGATATTTATTGAAACAATTTTTCACCTTAATGACCATGAAAGTGGTTAATATCTATCTCGCGGCTTCAGCCCACAGAAAAAAGGCTACCACAATTCACCTGCCATTTTGGTGAATAGCTTTCAATATTCTACAGAGCTCTGCTGCATTCAGGGTAAATTATTGCTGACCAACTGAAAAGCCAAATTTAACGTATAAAAATTGATGGACGAAGCAGCACATTGACCGTTTTGCTTAAGGATACCGGTCTCGTATCAGAAAACTCGTCCATCAAGGACGTCAAGGACAACTGAGGCTGGAGATTCGACATGACATGGACAGTTCATTTGAACTTTTCAATGCTTAAAGACCTTAAACTCCATAAGAACTCGTTAACAGTATTACCGATATTTTAAGAGGTCTATTGATATCAATAACAAGTAAGCTAAAAGATTAATGTTCCGTTTTGTCAGTGGTTGGTAATCTTAGATCTTAAGCCATTCTAATAAAAGAAACTACCACAATCTTTATTGATGGATCAATGATTAGTTTGGTCTCAATAACCTATTAATCCGATTAATGTGAGTTGCGGAATATTTTCTTAAGGCCTTCTTTTGAATTATTCATTTAACAGATAATTACAAAAGGAATTAAATAAATTCTATTAAAAAAAATTCCTCAAATATTTATTTCTTACCTACAAAGTGTTTATAAAGTGGGCGATTGAAAAACTAATCCTTGCAATTTACGTTTCTCTCACTAGTTCACGTAATTTACGGGTCTCACTAGTTCACGTTTTTTCTCTTTTCTTTTTCTATCACATTTTGTACAGGAACAATCGTAGGGTTTTCATTTGTGTCGCGAATATCGACTTCTACGGAGATTGAAGTTTCAATGGAGTGCACGTCTGACAAAGGGAGAAAAAGAAAGATAAACAGACCTTTTTAGCCTAGCGCTTTACTGACCGTAGGGACTAGCAAACCAGACCAATTAACGAAAACCGAATAAATATCAAAGCATTGATTGTCTGTGTTCAATTGATTGATCTATTGTCAGACCTATCATAGGTTTAATACAAAAGGTGTTTTCTACAATGCTGAATCCCGTGGCTTTGCAGAGAGAATATCAATCCATTCGCTCTCTCGTTCTTGGGTCCTCAGTTTATCTAAAGGAGCCTCCCAAGAATCCAGCTTTCTCGCGCACTTCCCCGCGCGATTCATTTCTTCTTCTGTCTCTTCGTCTCTTCCAAGAGCACGAAGAGCAATCGACATAGCTTGATGGGTGTGAATCAGCTCGTCCTGTGTGTCCAATACTTTTTCTTGGTAATCAACTACCTCTTTAAGGTATTTAAGGGCTCTAGGAAAGACGCAACGTCAAATAATGAATTTCCTCGACGTTTTCCTCCAAAAGAGGATGTCACATTTTTGCTAATGTTTTTACCGAGCGCTATTCGCATCAACACGATGTATTCTCTTAGAGATTATTACCTCTAAGTCCAGTTTAAGAAATTAAATCATTCCTCTGTCTTACGGTCCAAAAAGAATGCTACGATGAAAAACATTTACATTGTAATACATTCTGTTAGATGTTTCACCTTTGAGTCATTCACTGCAATTTGTCAAACCAAAATACAAAGAGTTTGAGGTCGTATAAGAAAATCTGACTTGACAGCAGCAAAATTAGAAGAAAAGGACGTGATCTAACGAGCAAAACAACACACGCTTCATTGCCTAACAACTTGTTGACGCTGCACGAATACAATGTAACATATTTTTGGACTTAATGAGCACTTCTCGAAAAGATATTTTTCCTCGTTCTGGACTTCAATGTGTTCCTCTTACCTTTTGAAAGCAGGAAATCCATGTAAATTGACATTTTCACGGAGTTGCAGTGATTACGATAAATTGTTTAAAGGAACAAATGCACGAAGAATGAATGTTTTTGCAAAGGTCAATATTGCTTACAATCAATTTGCTTAGGGCATAAAGAGACTTCGCAGTCTCCTGATGTTGCCCCAATAGTTTCCTTCGGATCGATATTGATCTGCTGTTGTATTTAATGGCGTTGTCGTAGTCACCCAAGGCGTAGTAACTGTTACCAATCCAACTAAGAGTGGTTGCCGTAAACAGGTGTTCACCGAGGTTCTCTTCATAAACAGGGAGGACATGTAACAGCCTTGTTTGAATGGCCATCATGTGATTTCGCTGCACCATTTGAGAAGCTGTTGGTCAAATGAAAAAAGAAAAGAAATCAGAATGATGGGACAGATCGACTGTCTATTTTCAAAATTGCGCTTTTTCTTTAACAAGACCCGCATTAGCAATACCAATTGAGTATTAGAGTGGAGAAGGAAAATGGCCTTGAGCTCATGCTACTCACCAGCCTATGCCACCAACATCACCTCCTAATTGTTACATTAATTTATCTGCATGCTACTTAAACAATTTCGATCATAATGAAGCTTATGCAAGGTAGATCTTACTGCCTAGCTTTTATGGCAAAGATCAATGGAGAGAATTCTCTTTATTAATATATCTTACCATGAATGCATTGAGAAATTAAATTCTCACCAACCTGCTATATCGTTGAAACAGGCAGCTAACATGACATGATCTTTGGTCCTGTTTAGTTTCTCTACTCTGTCCCATCGCAATTTCAAGGCTCTGTCGAGGTATCCATAGCCCTCATCAACGCGACCCTCCCGAACATAACAAAATCCAAACTTGCTCAGGCACTGAGCACGAGTGGTGTACTTCACGTCCGTAAGTGAAGAATGAATGTCATTTGCTTGAGTCAAAGTTTCTCTGGCCTGATACAAAGCTCTTGGACAAATGTGAGGGGTACATGTGCAGCTTAACACTATCTTCATTCCGATGTTCGTCAAGCAAGCGCTGGAGAGATGCAAGTGGGAGCGACATCGATACGCAAGCTTGCGAAAGAGCGACTGAAATTCTTGTTTGCGCATCACCTTTGCAAGAAATACAGCTGCCTCGTTGAAGGCTTCAATGCATTGCACCCTGGTAGTTTGGTCAAGCTCAGGATGATCGTCTCCACACCAAGCCATGGCTTCCCGAATGTTGTCCTTTCCAGATATTTACTGATTAATTGCCGACTTGCAATCTTTACTCAAGAAGGTTTCACAAAGTGTAACAGCCAAGTCACTAAAAATGACGAATGAAAGTCGATTTGGCGTCTATATGATCGCGCTTCAGTGAGAAGAAATCTCGTATGAAAGGATGGAGGGAATACTGACAACTTATCCTGTCGAAGCGAAGGAGGCTGCTGTGCTCCAAAGAATTCAGGCAAGTTCGCAAATCAGCTGTGACAAAGGACCGAAAGACTACTTCGAATTGCTCTTGCGTGAATCTGTGTGGAAATGTAGAG